ATTATTTCTCTAATAATGTCTCCGTTCAGTCTTTTTTCAATTATTTAGATTCATTTGTTTTCAATTATTTAGATCTATTTGTTTTCAAAACTTGCTTCCTTTGCTAGTTTATTTGATATTTGTCATCCAGTCTTTTCATCCCCATATTCCGGCGATGTGCAGGTGTTGTAGTGGAGAGCGGTTCGGAATGAGATTTTGAGGAATCGAGTTCGAATTTCAGTCGTGTTTGCTACGTTAACTTACGAGTAAATACTCTTGAGAATGGTAGGAATCCATAAATTTCTCCTAACTATGGTTTAGATAGTAGGATTTGTATCTGGAAATATTGATATTTAAAAAAATTGTGCCGATGCAATACTTAATCGCCCCCCACCCAAAGAATTATTCTTAAAATCTAAAATATGTTTCTCCTTTAAATGATCCCCAAATGTTGATAAACCGTAAATTCTAGTAAAAAAATTAGTGTTTAATGTATCCAGTCAGGACAATTTTTTTAATTTGTTTTACAAGAAACATATTCATACGTCCGATTAGTTTTATTAGTTTATTTTTCCAACTATATACAAATTTTTATTTATATATTTTTTAATCATACTTCTAGTCTTATTTTATTTATACCCCTATTTCTTTTTTATACTTCTTTTCTTTTTATTTATACCGCTATTATTACTTTATTTTTAATACCTCTATTTTTTTTATACGTCTAATCTTTTATTTATACTTTTATTTTTTATCCTTATATCCATTTTATTTTCCTTATACCTCAATTCTTATTTTATTTTATGTATACCTCTCTTTTTTTATTTATATAACGATCCTTATTTTTTTTATACTTCTGTCGTTTTTATTTATACCTCTATGGTTTTTATCCATGCCTCTATTTTTTTTTTTTTTATTTATACCTCTATTTCTATTTTATGCCTCAATTTCTTTTTATTTATGCCTGTATTCTTTTTATTCATACCTCTATTATTATTATTTTATATTTTCATATCTCTGTTTTTATTTTATTTTATTTATATCTTGATTCTTATTTTATTTATACCTCTATTCTTATTTTATTTATTCCACTAATCTTTTTTTTATTTATACCTCTTTTCTTTTTTATTCATACCTCTATTTTTATGTTATTTTTATTTATACAACTATTGCTATTTTATTTTATTTATATGTTAATTTTTATTTATACCTCTTTTCTTTTAATTCATTCCTCTATTTTTATGTTATTTTTATTTATACATCTATTCCTATTTTATTTCATGTATACGCCAATTTTTATTTATATCTCTTTTCTTTTTATTCATACCTCTAATTTTATGTTGTTTTTATGTTTACATCTATTCCTATTTTATTTTATTTATATATCAATTTTTATTTATACTTCTATTTTTTTTATTTTTTATTCTTACTTTTTACTTATACCACTATTCATTTTACTTTGTTTATACCTCTAGTTTTTTCTTTTTATTTATAACTGTATTTGTGTTTAATTTTATTTATACATTTATTCTTTTTATTTATACCTTTATTATTTTTATTTATACATTTATTTTAAATTTATTTTTTGTACCTCTATTTTTATTTATACCTCTTTTCTTTGTATTCGTACCTCTATTTTCATTTTATTTTATTCATACCTGTATTCTTATTATATTTATATCGCTATTATTATTTTATTTATACTGTTTTCCTTTTTTATACCCCCTTTCTCTTTATTCATACCTCTATTCTTCTTTTATTATACCTTTATTCCTATATTTTTTTAATTTATACTTCTATTTTTATTTATACCTCTGTTCTTTTTATTTGTGCTTATAATCTTATTTTATTTTATTTTTACCTCTATTTTTCTTATTTATCGTCCTATTTTTTATTTATACCTCTGTTTTTATTTTATTTTGTTTTTCTCTCTAGTCTTTTTTTAATTTTACGTGTGAAGTTCAATATCCGGTTAAGGCAGTGGATAACTTGGAGAGGGAAATTAACAGGAGATAACTGATAACTGACGTTCTTTAAACATGGCACGTGGAACTAGAACAGTCTACCCCAGTGAGCGAAATAAAGGGTTCAGTTCGACATTCCAACCACCTGAAGAAGGCCGGAGTGTTCAACGGCCGAAACGTTGTAATAAATATGGTGACAAAGATGAAGACAATAGACCGAATAATGTAAATAGTGTCTATTCTTTTCATTTATACATCTATTTCTATTTTATTTTATTTATAACTGTATTCAGTTTATTTATACATCTATTCTTTCTTTGACTAAAAATAATTTCCTATTTTCTCATTAGTTACCATGTTTGATTTTTTGTTCAAATTCTTTGACTGTATTTTCAAATGCATTAATTCTGTATTTTTATTCATTTATTCCTTCATTTAGGTAATTCATTCATTCAGTCGTTTGCTTATTCATTTATTCTTTTTCAAGTTCTTTAAATCTGTCATTTTTATTCTTTTTTTTATTTTTACTTCTTTCGTTCACCGTGTTATTTTTTTAGGTATTTTCATTTTTTCCATTTTTCTTATTTTTTTTCCTTTCCTTTTTTTTTTAATTTATTTTACCGTCGCTTTTCTTTATTTTTTCTTTCCCTCTTTCTTTCTGTTTTTCTGATTTTTTTCTTTCTTTTTCTTTTTCCTTCTTTATTTGAAGTTTATTGACTATCATTCTTTTAGTTGTCAGTATTTATTTTCCAAATTTATTTCTTTTAATCTTTCTTTCTTTCATTCTTTGCTTTTTTCTATTTTCTATTTAACCTTGGCTTTCGTTCGTTTTCTTTCTTTCTTTCTTTCTTTCTTTCTTTCTTTCTTTCTTTCTTTGCTTTTTTCTATTTTCTGTTTAACCTTGGCTTTCGTTCGTTTTCTGTCTTTCTTTCTTTCTTTCTTTGCCTTTTTCTATTTTCTATTTACCCTTGGCTTTCGTTCGTTTTCTTTCTTTCTTTCTTTCTTTCTTTCTTTCTTTCTTTCTTTCTTTCTTTGCTTTTTTCTATTTTCTATTTAACCTTGGCTTTCGTTCGTTTTCTTTCTTTCTTTCTTTCTTTCTTTCTTTCTTTGCCTTTTTCTATTTTCTATTTACCCTTGGCTTTCGTTCGTTTTCTTTCTTTCTTTCTTTCTTTCTTTCTTTCTTTCTTTCTTTCTTTATTTTCTATTTTCTTTCTTTCTTTCTTTGCCTTTTTTTATTTTTTCTTTTACCCTTTGCTTTCGTTCTATTTTCTTTCTTTCTTTCTTTCTTTCTTTCTTTCTTTCTTTCTTTTTTCTTTGCTTTTTCTATTTTCTATTTAACCTTGGCTTTCGTTCGTTTTCTTTCTTTCTTTCTTTCTTTCTTTCTTTCTTTTTTTTCCATTTTCTATTTACCCTTGGCTTTCGTTCGTTTTTTCTTTCTTTCTTTCTTTCTTTCTTTCTTTCTTTCTTTGCTTTTTCTATTTTCTATTTAACCTTGGCTTTCGTTCTTTTTTTCTTTCTTTCTTTTCTTTCTTTCTTTCTTTCTTTCTTTCTTTCTTTCTTTGTTCGTTTTTTTCTTTTTTCTTTTTACCCTTGGCTTTCGTTTTTCGTTCGTTTTCTTTCTTTCTTTCTTTCTTTCTTTCTTTCTTTCTTTCTTTCTTTGCTTTTCTATTTTCTATTTACCCTTGGCTTTCGTTCGTTTTTTCTTTCTTTCTTTCTTTTCTTTCTTTCTTTCTTTTTTTTTTCTATTTTCTTTCTTTCGTTTTTTTCTTTTTTTCTATTTTCTATTTAACCTTGGCTTTCGTTATTTTTCTTTCTTTCTTTCTTTTCTTTCTTTCTTTCTTTCTTTCTTTGCCTTTTTCTATTTTCTATTTACCCTTGGCTTTCGTTCGTTTTCTTTCTTTCTTTCTTTCTTTCTTTGCTTTTTTCTATTTTCTATTTAACCTTGGCTTTCGTTCGTTTTCTTTCTTTCTTTCTTTCTTTCTTTCTTTCTTTCTTTCTTTCTTTGCTTTTTTCCATTTTCTATTTTACTTTCGTTTGTTTTCTTTCTTTCTTTTAATTGTTTCTTCTGATTGTTCATTATTTCCTTTTTATTTTCATTTCTTATTGTATCTCTTTTTCGCATTCTCTCTTTCGTTTTTGTTAACATTACTTATTTCTTTCTTTCTTTGCTTTTTTCTATTTTCTGTTTACCTTTGGCTTTCTTTGGTTCTTTCTCTTTCCTTCTTTTCTTTATTTCTTGATTTCTTTCTTTCTTTGCTTTTTTCTATTTTCTATTTAGCTTTGGCTTTCTTTCTTTCTTTCTTTCTTTCTTTCTTTCTTTCTTTCTTTCTTACATTTTGTATTTCTTTCTCTTTTCCTTTCTTTTCTTTCTTTCTTTCTTTTTTGTCCTTACTTCTTTTTTTCTTTCTTTGCTTTTTTTCTATTTTCTATTTACTCTTGGCTTTCTTTCTTTCTCTTTCTTTCTTTCTTTCTTTCTTAAACTCTTTCTTTCTTTGTTTGTTTAAAAATTTTCTCTTTATCCTTGGCTTTCTTTCTTTCTTTCTTCTTTTACTCCTTTCTTTCTTTGCTTTTTTCTACTTTCAATTTACTTTTGGATTTTTCGTAATTCTTTCTTTCTTTCTTTCTTTCTTTCTTCTATTTTCTTGGCTTTCCTTCTTTTCTCGTCTGCCTTCTGTTTTTTTCTCTTTTAAACTTTCGCTTTTTTCCCCGTCTTTCTTCCCATCATCAATCCTTCTTAATTAATGTTATTACTTACGTTTTTCTTTCTTTTTGCTGTTTCTTTTTTATTCGTTGGTTTTTACTTTGTTTCTTTCTTTGCCGTTTTTTTTTTTGAAATTGCTTTTTACTATTTTCTATTTACACTTGGCTTTCTTTCTTTCTTTCTTTCTTTCTTTCTTTCTTTCTTTCTTTTCTTTCTTTCTTTCTACTCCCTGAAAATTCTTTTCTTATTTCTTTCTTTTTTCCTGTTTTTCTCCCTGATATCCACCACTACCTTTGTTTATTCAATGGATTTTCTTTTCTTTCTCAGTCATTTTTTCTAACCTTCATTGCTTTCTTTCTATTTCAGATTAGAATTAATTCTCCCTTGCACACACCACGCCCTTCCTCTTCATGTTCAAATTCCTATCAACGCCAGTTACGATCTTCTTAATCACCCAAAATCTTCCCGTCTTAATTTGATGGAGTTCTCACTTAATCGTCTTCGCACATTTAAATGCTACGCCATTTTTATAGCCTCGTTTTCATATGAGCTTTTCTTTCATTTGTTGTCCATTTTATTCATCACTTTTAGTTGTTCGTTTAATTCTGTCTGGTCTTTCTTTCTCGTACCCACCTGGATGAATCGTCCCGCGCTGTGCAGCATGTACGCTACTCGAATCAACGATTTATTGTAACGCTGATTGTTTGCCAAGATTGATACTGCCAAAGTAAATCTGTATATCTTTATAGTTAAATAATTATAATTCAATATTCAACTCAAGAATTATTTAAATGTAACATTAATTTTTATCTTTCTTTGCTTTTTTTCAATTTTCTGTTTACCCTTGACTTTTCTCTCTTTCTTTCTTTCTTTCTTTCTTTTAATTGTGTCTTCTGTTTGTCCTTTAATTAATTGTTTCATTCTTCTTATTTCCCTCCTTCTTTCTTTCTTTCTTTCTTTCTATTTACTCTCGGCTTTCTTTCTTTCTTTCTTTCTTTCTTTCTTTCTTTCTTTCTTTCTTTCTTTCTTTTTCTTTCTTTCTTTCTTTGCTTTTTTCTATTTTCTATTTACCCTTGGGTTTCGTTCGTTTTCTTTCTTTCTTTCTTTGCTAATATCCATTTTCTATTTACCCTCGGTTTTCTTTCTTTCTTTCTTTCTTTCTTTCTTTCTTTCTTTCTTTCTTTCTTTCTTTCTTTCTTTCTTTCAGCTATTTTCTATTTATCCTTGGCTTTCTTTCGTTTTTTTCTTTTCTTTCTTTCTTTCTTTCTTTCTTTCTTTCTTTCTTTCCTTATTTCTTTCTTTCTTTGCTTATATCTATTTTTATTTACCCTCGGCCTTCTTTCTTTCTTTCTTTCTTTCTATTTTCTATTTACTCTCGGGTTTCTTTCTTTCTTTCTTTCTTTCTTTCTTTCTTTCTTTCTTTCTTTCTTTTCTATTTACTCTCGGCTTTCTTTCTTTGCTTATATCCATTTTCTATTTACCCTCGGCTTTCTTTCTTTCTTTTTTTCTTTCCTTTAACTATTTTCTATTTATCCTTGGCTTTCTTTCTTTTTTCTTTCTTTCTTTCTTTCTTTCTTTCTTTCTTTCTTTCTTTCTTTGCTTATATCCATTTTTTATTTACCCTCGGCTTTCTTTCTTTCTATTTTCTATTTACTCTCGACTTTCTTTCTTTCTTTCTTTCTTTCTTTCTTTCTTTCTTTCTTTCTTTCTTTCTATTTACTTTCGGCTTTCTGTCTTTCTTTCTATTTTCTATTAACGCTCGGCTTTCTTTCTTTCTTTCTTTCTTTCTTTCTTTGCTTTTTTCTATTTTCTATTTACCTTTGACTTCCTCTCTTTCTTACATTTTCTCTTTATTTTTAATTGTTGGTTTAATTATATCTGGTCTTTCTCGTAGCCACCTGAACGAATCGTCTCAGGCTGTACAGCATGTACACTACTCGAATCAATATTTATTGTAACGCTTATCTTTAATCAGTGCTCGGTATATATAGCCCTGTGCCAAGATTGATACTGTCGAACTAAAACACTATATCTTTGTGGTTAAATACTTATAATTCAATATTCAAGTCACTAATTATTTAAATGTAAACAGTAGAAAAAAAAAAAACAAAGTAAGACTCTAATGCACAAAGAAAAAAAGAAAGAAAGAAAAAAAGCAAACGAAAAATAAATGAAAGAATAAAAAAAAAGAAAGTATGAAATACTATAATAAAGAAGAATGGATATGTAGTAGGGGAAGAAAAAAAACGAAAAAGAACGAATATAAAAGATGAAGTTAGTTACAATGGAAGATATAATAAATAAACAGACAAAGAAAGAAAGAAAGCTAACAAAGAAAGGAAAAGAAAAATGAAATATAACAAAGTAAAATTTATGTTAGAAAGAAAAACGAAATAAAATAAAGAAATAATAAATGTACATAATGAATAACGAAAGAAGTATGTCATAAATGAGGTAATTAGAAAATTAGAAAGAAAGAATAAATGTAAAAGAAGAATGAATAAATGAATTAATAAAAGAGAAAAATGAATTAATAAAAGAGAGAGGAAGAATAAATGAAAGAATATAAAAGAAAGAAAGTAGTAAAGACTATAATAAAGTAATATTGATTATACAATAATGGAAGAAATAAACGGAAAAGAAAGAATATAGATATTGCATAAAGTATTTAATAATGGTGGTAATAATAAATAAATAAGCAAAGAAAGTTAAAAACACACGAAATAAATAAGGAATATAATAAAGTAAAAAGTCTATCAAAAAGAAAGAAAGAAAATGAAAGAATAATGAATAATGAATAATGAAAGAAGTATGTCATAAAGGAGGTAATTAGAAAAATAGAAAGAAAGAATACATGTAAGAATAAATGTGAAAGAATGAATAACTGAAATAATAAAAGAGAGAGAAATAATAAATGAAAGAATATAACAGAAAGAAAGTAGTAAAGATTATAATAAATAAATAAACAAAAAAAGGAAGAATATAAAAGATGATGTATAAAGTATGTAAAATTAAAGAAATAACAAATGAATAAACAAATAAACAAAATCAAATAAATAAGTAATATAACTAAGAAATAAAGAATCTAAAAAAAGAAAGAAAAACAAAAGAAAAGTAACCTAAAAGTAAATGAAAAAAAATGAAAGAAGTATGTCGTCATCGTCTGTTTTATCTCGTATCCAAGAATTTAATTTCTTTGCTGTTCGCTTCCTTTATGATGACGGTGTTGATGAAGAGATTCGCCACCAACTAGCAGTTTCCGGTTTCACCAAAACCTGCTCATGTCATCCATTCCCTATCGCCGCTCAGCTTTTCAAAAGTTGGCTAGAGATGTAAGAAAAACCAGAGTAAGAGAAAGTGGAATCAACTTAACAGGAAGTCACCCACACATGATTTCATGACCATCCTCAGCGGTATATATGGAATGGGACATGCAGAATCCAGTTATGAAATTGCAACGAACTTCCGCTGACACTGTTATAATTTTGAGTAACACCTTCTGTAGCTTGTCCGTAATGCGTAGCCCTGTTCATCTTCTGGTTCAACCGTTGCTATCTGTTGTAATCACTACCGGTTGTTCTAACGTTGGGGTCTTTGGAGTTTAGAACTCCCGACGTCATCGCTCCCAGAATCACTGGACTACACAAGACCCTCTACCACGACAAGGAACGATCATCAGAGGAAGAAGTATGTAATAAAGGACAAATACTTATACAGAGGGGGGGGCTGCAAAAGTAGATATACAGTAAGTATGATAACATTATTTCAATAATGTTTCTAGTGTTCATTTCTTTTCGAAAGGAACTAATATGTTGATACAACAGTTGTCAGTGAAAATGAATATCCTAACGCCCCTTATTAAAATGATTGGTTTTCTCTATATCCATAGGAATTAATAATACGAATGTATATACTTATAAAGCTCCGTGAGTTTCAAAATTAGTTATTCCTAAATTTGCTTGAGGATGTAACAGAATTAGGTACTTAATTTCTATAACTGAATTTGAAGTTTTTAGCATCTGCTTTTGAAACATGAGAACTCTTATGTAGCGATGGAATCACATTTTTTTAAAAAAATGATTATATTTAGGCTCTACTAGTGTATCAATCACTGTTTTTTTCTTTTAAAATAAAAGCAAAAATACTAAAGAACTAACGGTTGTTTACTATTTTTCTATATATTTGCACGCACGCACGCACGCACGCACGCGCACACATACACACACACACACACACACACACACACACACATATATATATATATATATATATATATAACAGAGAACAGTGAAGTCAACACTTAGAGGCGACAGTCTGTTTCATGCTAGACGCAATCGTCAGACCACGAGTTTTGTTTTTTTTCCCGGCTATTTATATATACCGGTTAGTGGTGCATTGTGGGCAGTCTATTTTGGCGGTTATTTTGTCGGAAGTCGTTTATTTGTTTATTTATTTATCTATTTGGGTTAAATTATTTTACTTGTTTTTATTTATTTTATTTTATTTTTATTTTATTTTATTTTTTGTTTTTTATTTCTTATCGTATATTTTATTGATCGGTGTTTTATTAACGTAGGAAATTTTTTTATATCGCTTTATTAAGAGTTGTAAGCACTTTATCCCATAAATATAGCACAACTTAAGAGTATATTTCTTCATATATATATATATATATATATATATATATATATATATATATATATATAAAATAGTTTTATTCCGTCAATATTCTTGCATGAATTCATGGCTTCTGAGAATTTTCTTTTGTTTAAAATAATAGAAATAACGCCATAGCTGTAGAAATTCGTAATTGGCATACTGACATCATGGTTCAACTTGATGTGAGCCTGTGCATGTATTTTATGGATGAACTTAAATACATTACTTACATTATTCGGACTATTGTCCTCATCTTTGTTGCCATATTTATTACAACGTTTCGGCCGTTGTAAGTTTTGGCCTTCTTCAGGTAGTTGGAATGTCGAACTGAACCCTTTATTTCGCTCACTGGGTTAGACTGTTCTAGTTCCACGTGCCATGATTAATGAATGTCAGTTATCAGTTAACTGTTAATTTCCCTCTGAAAGTTCTCCACTGCCTTAACCGGGTATTGAACTCACACTCTTTGGATCCTTACACTGGATCTAACTAACGCTTTTATCCACTGTGCCATGTGTCCGAATGACATAAATAATGTACATAATACCTCATCTCAAAAATATAGACAGATAATGAACTTAAATGTTAACGTCCTTTGTATGCCATCATTTATTTTATATTATTATTTTATGTTCATTTATTATTCTATCATATTAATGATGGTCTTCTTTTTCTCAAACTTTCACACACAGTAAACTCTTACATCTTAGTGGCTTTATTGCCTTGATGGGCTGAAGTTATCAGTCAAAACTCAGAAGAATTATTCACTAAATATTTTCGATAGCAAAGTTTAGGGTTCCTTGATTTGTAATTCTCTTTTCATCATCCACGACACACAAGATATTCAACTCTATTTTTACCTTTGTTTTTTGTTTTTTTTATCTTTCTCTTTTTTTGTTTGTTTGTTTTGATTTTTTATTTCTTTTCTTTTGATTTTTCTATTTCTGAGTAGAAGTTTTTGATTGCTAGGTTTTCTAATCATATCATTTCTCCCCTCTTGACTACATCTTTCTTTCTTTTTTGTTTTTACTTCTTTCTTGTCTTTATTTCTTTCTTTTTTGTCTTTACTTATTTCTTTCTTTCTTTCTTTTTCGTCTTTCTTTGTTTTTTATCTTTGCTTCTTTCTTTCTTTCTTTTTCGTCTTTCTTTGTTTTTTGTCTTTGCTTCTTTCTTTCTTTCTTTTTCGTCTTTCTTTGTTTTTTGTCTTTACTTCTTTCTTTCTTTTTCGTCTTTGTTTTTTGTCTTTACTTCTTTCTTTCTTTCTTTCTTTTTCGTCTTTTTTTGTTTTTGTCTTTACTTCTTTGTTTCTTTCTTTCTTTCTTTTTCGTCTTTTTTTGTTTTTTGTCTTTACTTCTTTCTTTCTTTTTCGTCTTTCTTTGTTTTTTGTCTTTACTTCTTTCTTTCTTTTTCGTCTTTCTTTGTTTTTTGTCTTTGCTTCTTTCTTTCTTTCTTTCTTTTTCGTTTTTCTTTGTTTTTTGTCTTTACTTCTTTCTTTCTTTTTCGTCTTTCTTTGTTTTTTGTCTTTACTTCTTTCTTTCTTTCTTTTTATCATTCTTTCTGTTTTTCTTTTTATCTTTCTTTGTTTTCGTCTTTACTTCTTTCTTTCTTTTAGTCTTTACTTCTTTCTTTCTTTTTTATATTTCTTGTCATTACTTCTTTCTTCCTTTTCGTATTTCTGTTTTTCTTTCTCTCTTGTCTTTCTTTCTTTCTTTCTTTCTTTCTTTCTTTCTTTCTTGTCGCCCTTCTCTTGTACTCACGATCCCCACCCTAGGCCTGATTGTTTGTTTTGTCAAAATTAATAGGATTTGTCGTTAAATCCACTCAGCAAAATGAAAACCACTAACTAGGATGTGGGTAAGACGAGGAGGGTGGTGGGGATAGTGATGGTGGGTGTCAGGCCGAGCGGGTGGCTGCGTAGTAAAAGAGAAAGACTGAAAGTGGGAGACATCGGCTAAACAATCGTTTTACGTCTGAATTCACCGAATTCATTACGGAAAATAGGCAGGCCACCCTCTACCCAGCTGCCAACCTTCCTACGCATCGACCCACCCAACCCATCGCCCCATGCCTCATTCCACCAGCATCCGAACGTTTAACAGTATTAAGATGTTGACCCCGGCTGTCAGTCAGTCAGTCAAAGTGCAGTTCTTTTTGTTTGGGGAATGTTTGTATGTGTGTATGTGTTTGTGCCTCTGTGTGTGTGTGTGCGCGTGTGCGAGTGTGTGTATGCGGAAGAATAATCTTCGACAATGCGTAACACTTCATTGTTTAATCCTCATACTTGGTGCATAGATCACACACATACATACAGGGTGCGATGGATAAATTGTCGTCTAAATTACGCAAAAATTAAAAATAACCTCTAACATCTCATTTTAACAGATATACAGGGTGTCCTCCCCCACACATTAAAAAAACCCCCAAAAAACGACATCATTTTAAAAGCAATTATCTTGAAAACTACTTAGTCTATCTCAATGAAATTAAACAGTTTAGGTGTTGAACATCATAAGTTTATTATGGCACCGATTTCATAGGTGTTCAATATGTGCACCGACTGTGACACAGCACACGTCAAGTTGGTAGTTAAGCTCTTGCCAAACACGCTGTAGCATGTCTCCAGTAACATTATCCAGCGTGAAAGTGATTCTCTGCTTGAGTTCATCAATGCTAGCGGGAAGAGGCAGCAGTGACATAGACCAGTTCCTTCACATATCCCATAAAAAGAAATTATAAGGAAACAGGTCCGGTGACCGCGGCAGCCATTTCCTCATAAAACTCTCTTCATATCCACCACACCCGTGCCATCGCTCTGGCAGATTCTCACTGAGATAACACAGCTCTGCCAGTGCCATGTGTGATACACGCTTAGGCAGAATTTTTCCCGCAGTAGGTTGCCGTTTCTTTCTGCGATAGAACTATAGAACCGCGTCTATCCTGCTATTTAACCATAGCTGGGTGGGGGGCGGAGAAGAAGAGGATTCATACCTTTCTCAAGGGTATTAGCACTTAAGTAAATATAATGGATTCGACTGGGATTCCTCAATCCGAGTCGCTATCTATTACTCCACCATAGAAAGAGATCGAGGTGTTAATATTTAATAATGAGATAACGAAAAATAAAACATCAAATATAAAATCTTGATTCGTTTTTATAAATTCTGTGAAAATTTGAGGTTATTTTAACAAGAATTGCCTAAATTATTGGCCTGCGAAATGATGTTAATTTTGCGTGGAATCTCTGTATTTACCAATATGGCCATATATATCTTTATATCTATCATGTCAGTAGCCATCTTATGTCTCCTTGAAAACTGTTCTTTTATTGTCCTCTCCTTTACATTCAATCTCCGTGAACCCTTACATCCTAGTGGATTTTATTGCCATCTTTAGGGTCAAATGATAATACGACAATATCATAAAAAATGTCCATAATATATTCATATATTTCTTAAACAATATTTTAAACGGATACTCATATTTGAGTGGCTATTCTGTTTTTATTTATTTATTACACAATATATTTATTTATTTCCATCTACAGGCCTGAATATTCTAGATGTATGGTTACAAATATATGCGCCCTTAATAAAATAAACATGTTGGGTTAATAAATGAAAAACCCTTTCCTAACTAACTGACTAACTATATATATATATATATATATATATATATATATATATATATATATATATATATATATATATTAGCACATATATGTGTACCTACGTTTTGGTGTGCGACTTAAGTTTCGCTGGATTACAGCAAAGTGTAATCCAAAGACACTATTTACCAATAGCTGGAGAGAGAAGAAGAGGTTAATACCTTTTCCAAGTGTATTAGAACGTAATTGAATTCAATTCGAGCCGCTATCCACTACTCAACTCCCCCTCTGTCTGTCTGTCTGTCTGTCTGTCTGTCTGTCTCTCTCTCTCTCTCTATATATATATATATATATATATATATATGTGTGTGTGTGTGTGTGTGTGTGTATTCGCAACATATTTACATTTTATATATATATATACGTGTGTGTTTGTGTGTGTATGTTCGTGTGTGCGTATTCGTAACATATTTATATTATATATATATATATATATATATATATATATATATATATTAAGCATTACGCCCGAGCAAGGCGGGAAGCCACTAGGATGCAGGGGTTGCAGAAGATTTGGGCGAGAGCAGATGGGAGTGATAGAGGATGAGGATGAGAAGGATGGGGGATAGATCAAGGTAACTGGAGATGTCGATTGACATTACATTTGAATAGCTGGAGATTATACCTCTCAGGGAAACAGGAATAGGGAAGGGAGTTCCACAGGCGAGAGGTGCGAGACATGAAGCTATTGGAGTAGAAGAGACGGCTACATTTAAAAGTTTCTACAGTGAAAGGGTGAGAGCGGGATGCCAGCCTCGTAGGGCGCTTGAATTCATAGAGTCTGGGAACCAGTGAAAGCAGCTCAGCGGAGCAATTAGTGTGTGTGTTTGTGTGTGTGTGTTTGTATGTGTGTGTGTGTGTGTGTGTATGTTTATGCGTGTGTGTATTCGCAAAGCATATAAAGGTATAGAAATATGGCATATAGAGAAAGGATTAGAGAGAGGTAACTAGAAAGTAAGTTAGTGAAACACAGAGAGAAATTGTAGACAGGCTGAGAGAGAGAGAGAGGGAGAGAGAGAGAGAGAGAAGGAGCGATTAATAGATTCAAAAGAGTGAGTTAGCATCATAATATTTCTTGTGTGGCGCCTATTGTCAGTTGGTCCCGTATTGCATTCAATTTTATTTTGAGTCCTATTTCTTAAAATACTTGGTAGAGAATGGTGATTTTTTTTCCCACAATATTATTCTTATCCCAACTATGGAGACCTATGTCATCAGCATAGCCGCCCCTCTCATCGTTAGTGCGTTGGCCTCGGGACAGAAAGAACGCGGTTTTCTATTAGTTAATTCGTTCGGGATGTTGTATGGGTTGCTTAAATGAACAGTGTACATCTCTTCCCATCTGTGCTCGTAAATGCGCATGGTATAGCCTAGGAAAACATTAAATAAAACTGAGGGCTTCCATTTCATCCTTGAGCTTTTCCGAAGGTGAAACGGACACAGTGTGTGAAAGGTACAGAGAGAGAAAGGGAGGCAAAAAAGAGAAAGAGTAAGAGGACGAGAAA